TAGTCCATCCTGCAATTATAGTTCTAGCATCTCGGCTTCAGTTCCTTCCCATCGCCGTAACTTAGCTTCCGTGTGCCTTTTCTTTAAATACTTCCATGGTAATTATTCTGGTGAAATTTCTATAGTACCTAGACTTTATGAATTTAAGCGCAGTACTCGATTGGCGGCAAGGTCTCATCATTTTACTGTTGAAAAAGCTAGATATAAACATAAGTGCTATAGCAACTGTTTCTTCTATCGCATTTCCCGCTTGTAGAATTATCTTCCGAATTCTTCTTTTCCAGTCAACTTTGATCTTCAAAAACTCAAATGCAATGTCAATCGTTATTGTTCGTCTTCTTAAGAAACTGTTCTATACTAACAGTTTCTTTTCTCGCTTGTGAAACTCTCTTCCGGCTTTTTGTTCCCCAGTTAACTTTGATCTTCAAAAATTTAAATATAATGTCAATTGTTATCTTCTGTCTTCTTAATTCTTATTATTTTATTGCCCTCTCTCATTAATAGTAGTTTTTTTTTGTTTTTGTTTTTTTCTCAAATTCTCTAACATTCAGTAACCTCTTACATCTTAGTTTATTTGTTGCCTTGTCTTGGGTGGAAATGATTAAAAGAAATTCATTATGAAAGATAGCGTTATCTGCATTTTATAATGATTATTTTTTCTTTCGTTATATTCTTTCGCGTTAATTTTGTTAGTGTCAGAGTCACTTCAGTGTAAAGAGATGAATGCTCGGAATTAGTTGACAAATAGTAAAGACATATTTGTTTTCTTTTGTCTTTTCATTTCATCTTGAAATAATCCATGTGTAATGAATGGGGTGAGCAAATCATTCTAACTTGTCCATCTTCTTCTTTTATGTGTCGTGTCCCTTCAGGACGTATGCGACCATGGCCCTCCGCATCTTCCTATCTCTTGTAGCTCTTAATAATTTTTTTTTGTTATTTCTCCCAAACCCTGTTCTACCATTCATTTCCTCAAGCTCAATTATATTACTTGCTGCTTTCATCTATCCCTCAATCCGTCCTGTGAGTATCAGATTTTCCTAGCCCTCTCTTCTCATAACGTCCCCCAGAATTTTCAACTTTCTCTTCCTGATGCTAAGTATAAGTTTCCTTTTTGTTTCCATTTTCTCTAAAACGTCGTTGTTGCCTACATGTTCGGTTCATGGCATCCACAGGATATCTGTTGTTTCAAGGCTCTTCTTTTTCTTTGAGGAGATTATCCAGCATTCGCTGCTATACAGGTGAACAGATAACACGTAACAGTTCAATATTCTTTGATTTGATTGTTAGGAAATTTTTCTGTCTCTTAATACTCTGCTTAGCTTTTGGAAAGCACCTTTGGCCATCGCAATACGTCTTCGAATTTCAGTGTCACACTTTCGGTCCTCTGTTAAAACGCTTCCCAGATATTTAAATACCTGTACTTGTTTGATTTTAGTATCCCCAATTTGTAATTTGTATTTTGGGCTGTTCCCTTTTGCTGACAACCGTGCATTCTATCTTCTGATTTTTTTTTTGTTTGTTTGTTTTTTATATATATATATATCGAAAAGCAAGTTTTTAAAATCACATCGAAATAATTTGCTTCAAAATCTCCTTTGATACTATCTCGATTCTCTCTCTCTCTCTCACTCTCTTTCTCTGTCTCTTTCCCTTTCTCTCTCTTCTCTATTCTTTTTTATTTTTCTCAACATCTTTCTCTCTCTTTCTCTCTCTTTCTTCTTTATCCACAGCTCTCTCTCTCCCTCTCTTTTTTTCCATCGTTTTCTTTCTCTATCTCTCTCTCTCTCTCTCTCTCTTTCTTTCTCGCTATTTCTCTATTTCTCCCTCCATCTTATTTTCCTATTCTCCCCTCTCTCACTATACCTCACTCGTACTGTCTTCGTCTTCCCTCCCTTTAGGTGGTGACTAAATGTTCAGACAATTTGGCCATAAAAAAGTAACAACTTCCGTTTCCATTTCCCATCAAACTTCCTCATTACTCACATGTTTAGTCTATTGTATTCTTAGCATTCTTTTGTAGAACTTTAAAATAAATTATTTATAATAAAATAAAATAATTTTAATAAAATTTTAATATAATATTAATAAATTTATTTATAATAATTATCTTTAGAAACCAAGTTTTTGAAGTCACTTTGAAATTATTTTCTTCAACGTCTCCTTTGATGCTATCTCGATTCTCTCACTCACTCTGTCTTTCTTTGTCTCTTTCCCTATCTCACACTTCTCTCTCTCATTTTCTATTTTTCTAAAACATCTTTCTCTCCCTTTATCTCTTTTCTTTTCGCTCTTTCTATCCACATCTCTCTCTCTCTTTTTCTACCTTTTTATTTCTCTCTATCCCTTCTTTCTTACTTTCTTTCTTGACATCTTTCTCTTTCTCCCGCCATCCTTTTTTCCTTTCCCATAAAACTTCCTCATTGCTTACATGTTTAGTTTATTGTATTCTCAGCAATTTTTGTAGAACTTTGAAATAAATTATTAGAAATAATTTATTTTTATAAAATAATTTTTAATAAAAATTTTAATATAATATTAATAAATTCATTCATAATAATTATCTTTAGAAACTAAGTTTTTAAAGTCACTTTGAAATTATTTGCTTCAACGTCTCTTTTGATGCTATCTCGATTCTCTCAGTCACACACACTCTCTCTATATATATCTCTTTCCTTATCTCACTCTTCTCTCTCTCTCTCTCTCTTGCTATTTTTCTAAAACGTCTTTCTCTCTCTTTATCACTCTATCTTTTTTCGCTCTTTCTATCTACATCTCTCTCTTTCTTTTTCAATCTTTTTTATTTCTCCTTATCCCCTCTTTCTATTTCTTTCTTTCTTTCTTTCTTTCGCCAACCTCTTTTCCTCTCTTTCACTATGCCTCGCTCGCACTGTCTTCGTCTTCTCTCCCTTTAGAGGTTGACTAAATGTTAAGTCAGTTGGGCCATAAAAAGTATCAACTTCCGTTTCCATTTCCCATAAGGCATTGCTCACATGTTAGTTCCGTGTATTCTCACCATTCTTCTGTAGAACCACATCTCTGTTACCTGAAATCTGTGAAGCAATTGTCCACCATTCATGGCCGTATAGTACGAATATTTCTATTACATAACAATTGAGAATTCCTCTTTGTTTTTATCAAAGATTTCCCGTTTCTTAATAGTTTGTTTATCTTTTGGAAAGCTCCTTTTACTATTCCAAGATAATTTCAGAATTCTGTATCAACATGATAATATCGAGATATTGAGATTATAAAGAAATTATTCCTTTTTTTTTTGAATCATTAAAAATAATTTTTGAAACTAACATGAATAATAAAAAGCAACTGATTATAAAAATCGCATTATTTCGTAAAAAGTTACGCCGTTTTTATGTAAACGCGAGCCATGACTTCTTCGAGTTGCGCCTGATAATGACTCGTATTAACATCAAAAGAAAGATCTCATTACTAAGTAATGCGATCGGTCTGCGTGACCAATAAACATGAAAACAGAATCGTATAAAGGTAAATGATAGAAATGTGAGTTAAACGATAAATAAAGAAAACATGTCTGCCTTGAAAATCCGTAATAAAGATTCTGGTTTTCTCATGGTCAATAACCCAAACAGAGAGGCACCAAAAAGAAATATACAACAATCTCAGAATCTCAGACATACCAATAGGATATTTCTTTCCATGTATCCCCCAACTCTCTCTCTTTCTCTCTCTCCCTATATATATATATATACATATATATATATATATAATTCTATTACATTTACTTGTTTTTAAAAAGAAATATAGTCTATGAGTAATTAAGAGTATAAAAATTTTAAAATTGCAGTTTAATAAAACGTATTTTAACACAAACACACATAAAAAAAAAATCTTTGAGTATACTGGAAAAATGCCGAAAACTTTTTTGCCATTAATAAAAAAAACAGACGACATGCATTTAAAGGATGTCAGAATTCGTTGAAAAATAAACCCTACTCTCCCTAAAATTAACCTCTTTTTCGAACGTAACTCATAATTGATACAACAATAGTTAATAAAAATGAACACACTACAGCACCAGTCTGAATGATTGGATTCCTCTGTATCCTTGGAAACAGGAAATTATGAATTTATGTGTGTTTAAAACTCAGTAAATTTAAAAATAAGTTATTCCAATATTCGTTTGAAGATGAAAGGGAACTAATGCTTTTAATTTAATTATATAATTAAATTTAAAGTTTTTAGCTTCCATTTTTGAAATATAGTTATTAATGTGTAGCGAAAAATCATATTTTAAGTCAGTTCATTTATAATATTTAGGCTCTGTAAATTTACATGGAGCACTGTTTGTAAAAATAAAAAAAATAACAAGAACACCGGATTATATATCTTACTGTTCTTTCTTTTTATTTATATATGTACATATATGATAAAATATAGTTTTAAGGGATTCTATATTTATGGCTAAAATGGCGCAATATACATATATATACAATATACACTTAGGTCAACACCAGGCGGCAACAGTCTGTTTCATGCCTGAAGGCAGTGTTCAGGCCATAAGTGTTGTCATTGTTGCTCGGCTATTTATATAGGCGGCTCAGTGGTGAATTATGGATAAAAACGGTTTATATTCACATACGCTCTATCTCTGATATTGTGCATTTATAGCCATAAATATAGAATTTTTATTTTTTTTTAAATATATATATATATATATATATATATATATATATATATATATATATATATATATATATATATATATATATGGGGTGGGTTCGGAGAATGTAATGAGAGAATTTCTGATAAACAAGCAACGATTTCCACTATGTAGAAGGAAGATATTAGACTGATTTTCCAAATAATGAACGCCTGAAAAAATTTAATTTTATTCGCGCTCGACTATTGATCAGTGGAGCTAAATTACGACTTAAGTTTGTCCTTTCTTTTTACTGTCCATAGGCATGCCTTTCAAATAAATGCGAATGGACAGTAAAAAGAAAGGACAAACTTGAAAAGTATTAGATAGATAGATAGATAGATAGATAGATAGATAGATATGAACAGACTGTGAAAGTCAGATAGATAGATAGATAGATAGATAGATAGATAGATAGATAGATGCGAACAATCTGAGATAGATAGATAGATAGATAGATAGATAGATAGATAGTGGAATCAACTTATAACGGTAACATCGTCCTTAATTCTATGTCTACTGATAACTCAAACCCATTTCCGAGAATCGATCTGTAATTAATGAAAGGCTTTGTTGTCATTACGCTTGGCCCAATTTGTCTGCCTTGCCGACTAATATTAGCGCAAAGGACTGAGGCGGCCAATTACTCGGACCTTGGAACCTAAGTTGACCCTAACTGATTCTAAATATAACACTGATGAGAAAAAGAATACCTGAACATGGCCAAAGATTATAGAACTCAGAATATTGTTTTTGTTTCCCTCAGTTTTGTAGACGACTGTCCAGTTTTTGTTGTTTGATTGGTTAGATGATACTCACTTGTCTTCGACCCAAATTGGTTTTATCCTTTCCGGACAATTTAACCCATCAGTCGGGCCATTTCAATTAATTCTTGATTTTCGTGCTCAGGAAATTTATCTTTTGTGTTGGGTCTTCCGTATTTTACAAGTATACAAAATGGGCTATACTGTTTAGAATATTCGATTGATGCAATGATTATCGGCTTACAAAATGTTTAACCTTTGCCAAAAGCCATAGTCTTCACTCGTGAGCAGGCCTCCTGTAAACTACCCTCAGCCCTTTGGGAAACTACAGCAGCAAAACCACCACCATCACCACCTCTATAACTACCATCACCACCAACACCATCACTACCAACACCACCACCATCACTACTATCACCATCACAATCACCTCCACAACCACTATTATCACCATTACTACCATCACCACCAACACCACCACCATCACTACCATTACCACCACCATTACCACCATTACTACTATCACCACCAACACCACCACCATCACTACCATTACGACTACCATCACTACCATTACCACCACCATTACCACCATTACTACCATCACCACCAACACCATCACTACCATTACCACCACCATTACTAACATCACCACCAACACCACCGCCATCATTACCAGCAGACCATATATGACAACAGTATTCCTTTGAACCCCGCATACATTATGGTGGTAATGGTAGTGGTAATGGTAGTGGTAATGGTAGTGGTGAAGGTAGTAATGGTGGTAATGGTGGTGGTGGTGATGGTGATGTTAATGTTGATGGTAGTATTGGTGGTGGTGGTAATGGTGATGGTAATGTTGATGTTAGTGGTAATGGTGGAAATAGGGGTGACGGTGGTGGTGGACGTCCGATTGCTTCAAGCCGGGATCGAAACCCGATCGATTTGACATCAGTCTCCCTAGGCTATCGTCGCACGACACAGGGGATGTAGGTACCTCTAAAAACGCAATAACAAAAGTTTTGTTGGTTTTTTTTTTAATGAAAAATCTTTCTTAAAGTTTTTATTGTAGTTTTAATTTCAAGTTAATAGATGAAATTTAATATTTTCAATAAGCAAAATATTTTGCTGTATTTGAAAAGTAATTTAAATTGATTGGAATGTGTCTTTTTTTAAATCGCTTAAATCGTTGATTTCAGTCATTTTTAGTCATCTGTCAGCACATTATTAAAAGTCTTACAAAATTAAAATATACTTTTCCGAAACATTGTTTGACGGATATGGGTATATTTAAAGTTTAATTAATCTGATTTGAAACACATATTACTTACTGTTAATTTAAAATATCGCAAAAATGCATTTTTTTAACAATTTAACAATTTAATTAGGTTTTGACAGTAGAAATTAACAACCGGAAATTTAACTAATCTTTTCTACGGTTTTCAAATTAATGTCTTCGTTTTATTTCACGATTCAGAGAAGATTTTCAGTAACTGTGGGTCCTGTTTTACAAAATTTATTAAAATTTTCCAAGGAGTTCTACGTATATTTAATATAAACATTAAGTGGAACAAAAACGAATTTTGGGAAATTAAAAGTGGGTTTGTAAAAGAGGTAAAAAGTATTTTCGTCGACAAATTAAAAAAAAGAAAACATTTCTAAAAAAGAAACATTTTTAAAAACAAAAAAAGCATTTCGAAAATAATTTAATTCACTTGTGAATAAGTCCTGAAAGTTTTATTACAAAATCCACAATCGTTTGATTTTTACAAAAATTTACAAATAAAGAAACTAAAATTTCCTATACTAATTTATGGTCCCCCACTGGCTCAAGAAAAACACAATTTTAACCAAAATATTGAAAATTCTAAAAAGAAAAAAAATATAATTTAATAAGCAAAAATCCTTTGGTCTTTCCTCTTGATGAACGAATGCCAAAAACTTAATAAAAACAAAGTTTATCGTCAAAATGGTTATGAATAATAACATAAAAAAAAGATTTTAACGATGAAACATTTTCCTTAAGTTTGGGGCATTTTTTCATCAAGGTATGCTCATCTTCTGCGAATATTTGGTTAGATACCTATCAATATATATATATATATATATATATATATATATATATATATATATATATATATATATATATATAAAGAGAGAGAGAGAAAGAATATTACAATATATACACGTTCAACAACCGTAACTCATAATTTCACACGCAAAACGAACATCAGACAATTCGTATCATTAGTGGATCGTTTTACACGGGAAACTGTTCGTCACGACCATGACTTGTGTTTCTGATGACCTTCTGCTGTGTTTCCGGTCTTTCCTGGATTGGTTTACTCCTTGGGATTTTCTCATCTGAACTATTTTGGTCTGTATTCTAGTCTATGTTTTTGCTGAGTTTCCAAGGAAATTTTTTTTTGCTTTCTTTTGGCTGACCAGGCCCACGTTATTTGTTTATTTTTTCCTTCTTTTTTTTTATCTTTGAAATTCTATTTAATCATATACACAGACAGACAGACACACACACACACAGATAGATAGATAGATAGATAGATAGATAGATAGATAGATAGATAGATAGATAGATTTAAGGTGTGCTATATTTATGGAATAAAGTGCTCAATATCAGAGATAGAGTGTATGCAAATATAAATATAAAAGTGAACATTGAAGTCAACACTCAGAGGCGACAGGCTGTTTCATGCTAGACGCAATCGTCAGGCCGCCTGACGATTGCGTCCAGCATGAAACAGTGTTATGTAGTGGTTTCACAGTGGAGGCTTGTATTTGTACTAAGTCGGCCCTAAAATAGGTTCGACGTACAAAACGTTAGGAACTTGATATAATAGGTAATGACGCAGTAATCTAGTTGTGGTGGCTGGTACTTTAATATCCGACTAACGGTCGTCCGACATCGACTGATTGACCCACTCACTGAACGACTCACTTGTAACTCTTACTACTCCTACTTATTATAGGTGGGAGAATCTATTAACTATAGAATAGGTGTGTTCCACTATGACAAACAGCCTGTCGCCTCTGAGAGTTGACTTCAATGTTCACTTTTATATTTATATTTAGATAGATAGATAGGTAAATTCTGTATTAATTTTTCGACCAGACTTTTATTAAGCTTTCACAGATGAATTTCTATTCTGACAACCCATACCGACGTTGATAAGACAGACGAGACATTCTATATTTTCGTCTGCCGAAATAAGCATATTCCCCATATGAAGAACGGCTCCAACTGATGAATCGGAAAGGCAAGTTCGAATTCCAGTCGAATCCATTACATTCAGTTATGTGCTAATACCCTCGGAAAAGGTGTGAATCCTCTTCTTCTCCCCCCAGCTATGGGCAAATAGCAGGACAGACCGGGTTCTATAGCCTTTTGATGGCAACTGATCTACCGCAGAAACAAATGGCAACCTGCTGCGGAAAAAAAAACTGTCTCTTCAGTCATGTATCGAAAGATACATGATCGCCTAAGCGTGTATCACGCATGTCACATAACTGACTGGGATGGCAAATGGCTATAGCCTTGGATGCCAACTGGTCTAGGAGAAGGACAACTCTAAATTCAAAATCTGCAGAGGGTGGTTTGGGGACCTTGTGTAACGTAGTGCACCAGGTTTCTGCATTCGGCCTTTCAAAGAGGGTGGTTTGTTTTGCACAAAGCCTTCACCACTATAATCAAATCTAATTTGCTGGTGTAGGGCTGTCTGTTCCGAGGAACAGATCTGCTTGACCCTCATACGCCGAATTCGACGGGAGAGTACATATATATATATATATATATATATATATATATATATATATATATATATATATATATGCTCATGTATTGAGAGGGATAGGTTAGTGAAGATACATATTAATTTTATACATTTATTTTATATATATACGTGTGATTCATATGTTTGTGCGGTGGCTTGTGTACATTTACACACTGTCATGTGCACATATATACGCGTGTGCATTTATATATATATATACGTTTTTTTTCTCTCAGTTTTTCTTTTATTTTTTAAACCTTTTTTTGTTAACAGATTTCCAAATTTTTATCCATATTTTTGTACCTTCACTTTTTTCTTTCCATTTGATTTCATCTGATAATATTTTATTATTGTATATTCCTTCCTTTTTTTTCCTTTCGCCCTTTCTTTCTTCCTTTTCATCACATCGTATTCTAACCATATTCCCATCATTCAACACTCTCTCGCGTGGTTTGCCAATTTCTGCTACAACTTCCTACAGGCAAGACGTCTTTCTCCCTCCCCACCTATACCTCTCTTCATCAATGTTTACAATCTCACTCCCCACCCTACGATATACATTAGGAACAATAGACCAGTCTAACACTTTTATACCGATCAAAATTTAAATTTACGTTTATTTTCCTAAAAGTTTCGCACATCAAGGAATCAAACTTAGATCTGGCTTTTGCTAGCAATACGACTTCCACCAGAAAATACACCTCCTACAAAAACATCTGTCGGTTAGTAATTCCCATTTCTCCATTTGTTCCTTGGACCGTTGATGGAGGACACAGGCGTGTCCGAAAGTTCCGAACATAAATCCTTCCTCTCCGTGCTTCATTGTTGTCATATGGTTAATATTTGATAAACGTTGATCGTACTGATAATATTGATATCCTTTCGTTTGTCCTTTATTTTTTTTATTAAGAAACCTATTCATTTTGTATATTATAAGAAGCACAGGTGGATAGCTTTTTTATTTTTAAAAATAATAATAATTATTTTTTAATTCTATTTAAAATCACAGACTTTACTTTTTATATATATTTATAATTTTTTTAATCAGTTTTAATAATTTTTTAAATGTTTTTATTTTTTTCCTAGCAGTAGACTTAGCAGTTGATTCAAATGAACCAATTTTCCTAGCAGTAGACTTAGCAGTTGATTCAAATGAACCAATTTTCCTAGCAGTAGACTTAGCAGTTGATTCAAATGAACCAATTTTCCTAGCAGTAGACTTAGCAGTTGATTCAAATGAACCAATTTTCCTAGCAGTAGACATAGCAGTTGATTCAAATGAACCAATTTTCCTAGCAGTTGATTCAAATGAACCAATTTTCCTAGCAGTAAACCTAGCAATTCAATTGAACCAACATTCCTACCAGTAGACTTAGCAATTCATTCAATTGAAACAACTTTCTTTCCTGGCTATTTAAGGGTTAACAGCCATGTTTTTGTCCTCGTTGTTGTTGTTGCCATTGTTGTTAACAAGAAAGTATGAATTTAAGATGAATGGTGGCATTGTAACGCAATAATCAGGTTCTCCCCTTTTTGACATTTACAGCTGTTTAATATATCTTTTAACTGGTTTGATGATGACAGATACCTGCAAATTTATATTCCTTTGGACAGCTATAGTTTGCAGCGGGAAAAAAGTCATCTTCAGTTGTGACGTGTAATAGAATTGAGAGAATACCTAAAAATAGAGAGAGAGAGAGAGATTGGTTGTAGGAGAGATAAAGAAGTGAGTGAGAGAAGGCGCTAGAAAAATAGAGGATGGATGAGGAAGAGGTCGAAGAGAAAAAATAAAGAGAATGAATGGGAGAGAGATGGTGGGAGAGGAGAGGGGAAGAGATAGCGACGGTAAAAGTGTGTTCTAAAGCTATACATTCAATCAGAATCTGAATAAGATTTTTTTATATCGGATTCACCACAAGAAAAACAGTAAAGCCACTAAGACGCAAGTGGTTACTGTGTGTGAAAGAATTCGAAAACATAAACTTTACTATGGAGAGATAACAATAGAAGAGTAATAGGGAAGACATAGATAAAGTTTGACATTGCACTTAAATTTTTTAAATCAATGTTGGCTAGAAAGTATGAAGCTGGAAGACAGTTCAACAAGCTAGAAGTGCGAGAAAATAAACTGTTAGTATAGAACTTACGGTTATATCTTGTCAATTCAACTGTAAATTGTTACCAATCTAGAATAAATTCATGAAGTCTGGTTACCATAGTGAAGGGTTCATCAGAACAATTACCTTCAAAATATTTATAGAAAAGGCAGAGGAAAGCAACCTTACGGCGGTGGGAATGTGTCTGAAGCCGAGACGCCAGGTCAGGATCAATCATATTGCTGATTCTTTTTATGCATTTCATTAAAGAGCTATAGATAGAAGAAGCACCGGACCATATATTGCTGATTCTTCTTTGGATCTTATCAAGGAGATCAAGGTAAATAGCAGGAGTACCGGACCATATGTGGCAGCAATATTCTAAGCATGGACGAATGGTAGGTTTATAGATCAGGACCAATAATATTGCTAAATCTTTTTTGGATCTTATCAAGAAGATCAAGGTAAATAGCAGGGACACCGGACCATATGTAACAGCAATATTCTAAGCATGGACGAATGGTAGGTTTATAGATCAGGACCAATAACATTGCTGATTCTTCTTTGGATCTTATCAAAGAGATCAAGGTAAATAGCAGGAGCACCGGACCATATGTGGCAGCAATATTCTAAGCATGGACGAATGGTAGGTTTATAGATCAGGACCAATAATATTGCTGAATCATTTTTGGATCTTATCAAGGAGATCAAGGTAAATAGCAGGGACACCGGACCATATGTAACAGCAATATTCTAAGCATGGACGAAAGGTAGGTTTATAGATCAGGACCAATAACATTGCTGATTCTTCTTTGGATCTTATCAAAGAGATCAAGGTAAATAGCAGGAGCACCGGACCATATGTGGCAGCAATATTCTAAGCATGGACGAATGGTAGGTTTATAGATCAGGACCAATAATATTGCTGATTCTTCTTTGGATCTTATCAAAGAGATCAAGGTAAATAGCAGGAGCACCGGACCATATGTGGCAGCAATATTCTAAGCATGGACGAATGGTAGGTTTATAGATCAGGACCAATAATATTGGTGATTCTTCTTTGGATCTTATCAAGAATCTCAAATAAATAGCACGGGAGCACCGGACCATATGTGGCAGCAATATTCTAAGCATGGACGAATGGTAGGTTTATAGATCAGGACCAATAATATTGCTGATTCTTCCTTGGATCTTATCAAGGAGATCAAGGTAAATAGCAAGAGCACCATACAATATGTGGCAGCAATATTCTAAGCATGGATTAATGGTAGGTTTATAGATCAGGACCAATAATATTGCTGATGCTTCTTTGGATCTTATCAAAGTGATCAAGGTAAATAGCAGGAGCACCGGACCATATGTGGCAGCAATATTCTAAGCATGGACGAATGATAGGTTTATAGATCAGTACCAATAATATTGCTGATTCTTCTTTTGGATCTTATCAAGGGGATCAACTAAAATAGCAAGAGCACCAGACCATTATGTGGCAGCAATATTCAAAGCATGGATGAATGGTAGGTTTATAGATCAGAACCAATAATATTGCTGATTCTTCTTTGGATCTTATCAAGGAGATCAAATAAATAGCAGGAGTACCGGACCATATGTGGCAGCAATATTCTAAGCATGGACGAATGGTAGGTTTATAGATCAGGACCAATAATATTGCTGATTCTTCTTTGGATCTTATCAAGGAGATCAAGGTAAATAGCAGGAGCACCGGACCATATGTGGCAGCAATATTCTAAGCATGGACGAATGGTAGGTTTATAGATCAGGACCAATAATATTGCTGATTCTTCTTTGGATCTTATCAAGGAGATCAAGGTAAATAGCAGGAGCACCGGACCATATGTGGCAGCAATATTCAAAATGGACGAATGGACGAATGGTAGGTTTATAGATCAGGACCAATAATATTGCTGATTCTTCTTTGGATCTTATCAAGGAGATCAAGGTAAAATAGCAGGAGCACCGGACCATATGTGGCAGCAATATTCTAAGCATGGACGAATGGTAGGTTTATAGATCAGGACCAATAATATTGCTGATTCTTTTTGGGATCTTATCAAGGAGATCAAGGTAAAAATAGCAGGGACACCGGACCATATGTGGCAGCAATATTAAAAAAGCATGGACGAATGGTAGGTTTATAGATCAGGACCAATAATATTGCTGATGGATCTTATCAAAGAGAGGAGCACCGGACCATATTGGCAGCAATATTCTAAGCATGGACGAATGGTAGGTTTAAGATCAGGAAAATAAATGATTCTTCTTTGGATCTTATCAAGGAAATATAAATAGCAGGAGCACCGGACCATATGTGGCAGCAATATTCTAAGCATGGACGAATGGTAGGTTTATAGATCAGGACCAATAATATTGCTGATTCTTCTTTGGATCTTATCAAGGATCTCTAAATAAATAGCAGGAGCACCGGACCATATGTGGCAGCAATATTCAAAGCATGGACGAATGGTAGGTTTATAAGATCAGGACCAATAATATTGCTGATTCTTCTTTGGATCTTATCAAGGAGATCAAGGTAAATAGCAGGAGCACCTGGACCATATGTGGCAGCAATATTCTAAGCATGGACGAATGGTAGGTTTATAGATCAGGACCAATAATATTGCTGATTCTTCTTTGGATCTTATCAAGGATCTCTAAATATAAATAGCAGGAGCACCGGACCATATGTGGCAGCAATATTCTAAGCATGGACGAATGGTAGGTTTATAGATCAGGACCAATAATATTGCTGATTCTTCTTTGGATCTTATCAAGGAGATCAAGGTAAATAGCAGGGAGCACCGGACCATATGTGGCAGCAATATTCAAAGCATGGACGAATGGTAGGTTTATAGATCAGGACCAATAATATTGCTGATTCTTCTTTGGATCTTATCAATAGGCTCAATGTGGACCAGATCAGGGCAGCAATATTCTAAGCATGGACGAATGGTAGGTTTAAAGATCAGGACCAATAATATTGAAATTTGATTCTTCTTTGGATCTTATCAAGAATCTTCTAAATATAAATAGCAGACAGGAGCACCGGACCATATGTGGCAGCAATATTCTAAGCATGGACGAATGGTAGGTTTATAGATCAGGACCAATAATATTGCTGATTCTTCTTTGGATCTTATCAAGGATCTCAAGATCTTAAATAGCAAGAGCACCGGACCATATGTGGCAGCAATATTCTAAGCATGGACGAATGGTAGGTTTATAGATCAGGACCAATAATATTGCTGATTCTTCTTTGGATTTGGATCTTATCTTTGGATATGGCAGCAATATTCTCATGGATCGAAAATATATCAGCACCGGACCATATCAGATGGCAGCAATATTCAAATTCTAAACATGGACGAATGGTAGGTTTATAGATCAGGATTCTTTGGATAATATTGCTGATTCTTCTTTGGATCTTATCAAGCAAATCTCAAAATAAATAGCAGGAGCACCGGACCATATGTGGCAGCAATATTCAAAAGCATGGACGAATGGTAGGTTATATATATCAGGACCAATAAGAAACTGATTATTCTTTGGATCTTATCAAGGAGATCAAGGTAAATAGCAGGAGCACCGGACCATATGTGGCAGCAATATTCTAAGCATGGACGAATGGTAGGTTTATAGATCAGGACCAATAATATTGCTGATTCTTCTTTGGATCTTATCAAGGAATCAAGGTAAATATATAGCAGACACACCGGACCATATGTGGCAGCAATATTCTAAGCATGGACGAATGGTAGACTTAGGTTTATAGATCAGGACCAATAATATTGCTGATTCTTCTTTGGATCTTATCAAGAATCAAGGTAAATAGCAAGAGCACCGGACCATATGTGGCAGCAATATTCAAAGCATGGACGAATGGTAGGTTTATAGATCAGGACCAATAATATTGATTCTTCTTTGGATTCTTCTTTGGATCTTATCAAGAAGATCAAGGTAAATAGCAGGATGAACATTAGGTTTATAGATCAGGACCATATGTGACAGCAATATTAAAAGCATGGACGAATGGGACTTATATGAAATAGGTTTATAGATCAGGACCAATAATATTGCTGATTCTTCTTTGGATCTTATCAAGGATCTCAAGGTAAATAGCAGACGCACCGGACCATATGTGGCAGCAATATTCTAAGCATGGACGAATGGTAGGTTTATAGATATGGACCAATAATAGAAACATTTGGATCTTATCAAGGAGCTCAATAAATTCTTTTGGACCATATGTTATCAATATTCAAAATGGACGAATGGTAAATCAGGAGCAATATTGCTGATTGGATCATGGACTCAAGGTAAATAGTAGCACCGGACCATATGTGGCAGCAATAAAGCATGGACGAATGGTAGTTTATAGATCAGGACCAATAATATTGCTGATTCTTCTTTGGATCTTATCAAGGATCTCTAAATAAATAGCAGGAGCATCGGACCATATGTGGCAGCAATATTCAAAGCATGGACGAATGGTAGGTTTATAGATCAGGACCAATAATATTGCTGATTC